AACTTGCCGTCATTCTTGTATCCCTTGGAAGCAGAAAAACGAATAACTTCTTTGCCTTTTTATTTACTGTTTACTGTAATGTTTAATTTTTAACGGCAGGGTATCATGTGAAATACTACTAAGATGATGCTGAGATATTTGCAAAACTCCGGACCGCAGGTGTCTGCGGCGGAGAACGAACGCGCTATTGTCCTTTCCCCGGCGAGTAAAGCGTTCACCACCACACCATGCTGGTCCTTCGTTTCGCCTCTCTCTCAGTTTTTATCGATCAATACCATCATCAATCACCCGGAACTACGTATACATTCGTCAATAATTTTCATGTTTTCTTGACCCGCTTACTTACGAAATGTGAGCTACGGCAAATAACAAGGGAGGTGCTTCTCTTCAATAAGCAGACACGAGGTTATTATTATAGAATTTATTAGAATACATTAGCTGACGTGAGCTGGTTTCGCCTTCTTCATAGCCTGGAAAGGTCAAATTGAGATGTGATCTACTCAGCCAAACAGTTTCATAACACCAGCAGATAAAGCTTTACAAATTNATCATGTGAAATACTGCTAAGATGATGCTGAGATATTTGCAAAACTCCGGACCGCAGGTGTCTGCGGCGGAGAACGAACGCGCTATTGTCCTTTCCCCGGCGAGTAAAGTGTTCACCACCACACCATGCTGGTCCTTCGTTTCGCCTCTCTCTCAGCTTTTATCGATCAATACCATCATCAATCACCCGGAACTACGTATACATTCGTCAATAATTTTCATGTTTTCTTGACCCGCTTACTTACGAAATGTGAGCTACGGCAAATAACAAGAGAGGTGCTTCTCTTCAATAAGCAGACACGAGGTTATTATTATAGAATTTATTAGAATACATTAGCTGACGTGAGCTCGTTTCGCCTTCTTCATAGCCTGGAAAGGTCAAATTGAGATGTGATCTACTCAGCCAAACAGTTTCATAACCCCAGCAGATAAAGCTTTACAAATTGATTTGCATTCGCATAAGAAACAGCTTCATTTAAACACCTACCGTTTATTTGTTGTATTTAAGTTAGTCGATGGATAGCAGCCGCACAGAGCAATATATTGGCGATAACTGTGTCTGTGTCAGGTCATTGGATTAGCCTGAGGTATGGCGCCAGATCACGCGTGATGACAAAACACTCCTTGCGGTTCATTTTTGAATTTTTGGAATTGATCCAAAACGCTTCAAGAGTTTTACGCGCTGATGTTTTTGATTCGTGCGTGAAGATAGTGACTCCTACTTCAAAATCTTCTCCGTTGCATTCCATCAGTTGTGTAGACGGACCTACGGATAGAATTGCTTGGTTTATAAACCTAATCCTCAACCAGTTGCTTAGGCACATACCAGCCCATCTCACGAACACCCAAATGTTCCTAGACCGTCTGCGCAACGCACGTCCCAAAAGCGCTTACATTACGAAGCCATTCGACGTTACCGCCCTTTACACTAACGTGTCGAACGACTCCGCAATGCACGCCATCCGCGAGTTTCTTGAGCAACACGGAGCAGTTAACATGTATGGCTTTTCGAGTCAGCAGCGTATGGTCGTCTTAAAGGTCTCTTTAAACTGCTCGATCTTCAGATGGTCCGGGAAATATTACGCGCAAATTGGAGGGTTGGCAATGGGACAGCGACTGGCACCAACCCTTGCCGTTGTCTTTATGTCTAAAGTGGAAGCATCAGTAATCGATCTCAGGCCATTACTCTACTGTAGGTATATAGAAGATTGTTTTGTCATCTGCTCCACACAAGAGGAAATGGACAAATGCTTTGAGTTATTGAACGAACAGTCAGATTACATAAAATTCACCCATGAGAAACCGAAAGAAAACTGGCCTCCATTGCTAAACGCTCAAATCAACCTATCCGAAAACGGCTACAACACAAAATGGTATCGAAAGCCAAGCAGCAAGGTCCATTATCTCTCCTCTCATCCCTCACACACTAAAAGGGCGCTTATAAGAAATATGTTTCGAACAGCTACCAGCGTGTGCACAAAGATCAGAGGGAAGAATCCTCGAAACTGGAGCGCCAAATAGCCATTTCAAATGGTTACGAAACTGTAGTTTCTCGGCATAGGTCTAGAGGAAAAACCACGCCCCAGAGCGAGAATTCTAACGAAAACAAGGCTCCGTTCCTCTTCCCCTTTATTTCAAACGAAATAAATGCAACTATAAAACGTTGCTTAATAAGGGCCGGTTTAGAGAATTCCGTAAGAGTGATGAAAATACCATCGGACACTCTAAGACGTCAACTAGTTCGCAACCGCCTATATGAACGTCTATGTATTACAAAAAACTGCATGATTTGCCCTAACGGTAGAGACGGTGACTTCATGAGTTTGGGTACAGCCTATCTGATCTCTTGTAAAGCGTGCGGGGACGAATACGTTGGCGAAACGGGTAGACCGCTCTGCGTCCGCATAGAAGAACACCTAGTCGATAAATCTAAATTAAAACCAAACACTCCACTAGGCACGCATAGGATGCAGGAGCACAACGGAGAAGATTTTGAAGTAGGAGTCACTGTCCTGACGCACGAATCGAAAACATCAGCGCGTAAAGCTCTTGAAGCGTTTTGGATCAATTCCAAAAATTCAAAAATGAACCGCAAGGAGGAGTGTCTTGTCATCACGCGCGACCTGGCGCCATACCTTAGGCTAATCCGTTGACCTGACACAGACACAGTTATCGCCTATGGATTACTCTGTGAGGCGGCTATCCATCAACTAACTTAAATACTTACAACAAATAAACGGTAGGTGTTTAAATGAAGCTGTTTCTTATGCGAATAAAAATTTATTTAAAAAATATAAAAATTATAAAAGTTTTATTTGTTAGTGTTATGAAAGTGTTTGGCTGAGCAGATCGCATCTCAATTTGACCTTTCCAGGCTCTGAAGAAGGCGAAACCGCCGAAACGTCAGCTAATGTATTCTAATAAATTCTATAATAATAACCTCGTGTCTGCTTATTGAAGAAAAACATCGAATTATCAATCAATGCCGAGGTTCACAGAAAGTCGGGCTTGGGAACAAGAGAGGTGTTTGTCGAACTATCAACCTTACCATAGAATTTTAGTTGTACTTCACATCACTACGCACTCTTTTAGTGCACGACTAATCTGTATGACATTTTCGATTCGATGCAACGTCTCAAAACAATGCAGTCATTCGCAAAGAAAAACACTATTTTACTTAAACTGGTATCATAAAACCATTCCCATACTGTTTATGTATTAAAGTTATGTGCATAAACTCCATATTTGCTAAAGTTGAGTTCTCACGATGATATTATATAGTATTTACCGAGCTAAAGTAAATTGATGTATTTATCAATGGTTACAAAAGCTTAGTAGCATCTTTGTGGAAATATTTGTCATAAGTCCTAATCCTTCACTTAATATAGCGCTTTTTATGCTACAAGTTATCCTCTCTTTACGATAAAGGACAATCAAGAATATCATAAGAATTTCACCTGAGCGAGAAATTCTATGATATCAGCCTCTAACATTCGGAAGAAACAACAAACCCAAGTGTTGAAACCATGTTAGTCTAGATCAGAATTGTGACATAAACTGTTGCCAGTTGAAACGCATTTTTAATCAAGTCGTTAATTGGTATGAATCTACATTTGCGTACACAATTAACAGTATTTGCATCATATCATAAATGATAATAAAGATCGAATCTAAATCAACCTTTTCTTGGTAGCGCTTATAGAGAAAGCCTTGTAATTTCGATTCGTCGTGCCATTCAGGATTAACTCGGATTACCTCATAATGTATACAAACTCCACTATCTGGAAAGCACTTCTCACCAAGCAGTATTGATCCTGCAAGAAAAACCGCTGTTGCGACCAGCACAGCATTTCCGTGATATAATTTTAGAAGAATGTAAATTAAGTGATAACGGAAAAAATTCGCATACTAATATCAGGAACAATTCCTTTAGGATATCCCAAAGTGGCATCTATAATATATTCGATAGGTGGCCCACCGCCGCAACGAGACAACTTACTACCTTAAGTCAGTCTGTTATGATGCGCTTCTACTAGTACTCAGAAGAATTTTGACGAAGTGCAGTAGATCACCTTCTTCAGATCCTCTTGCAGGTCCTAAGACATCAATGACAGCATGAGCTGCACCAGAACGAGGATAAACACAGTGACTAAGTGGCTGAAGTCTCATTTCCTCAGCAAAGCGCGCACAACTTTCTTTGATCAAAAATAGTCGAGAGCCTGAAATTAATACAGTCCGATTAGAGCTATTACCCAAATAATGAACTCAAATCCAGTACTGCCCACAAATTGTTAAAAAACAGATTCACAGACGCTACCGTTCACATCTGATGATAATCAATAGCGGCCGTTGACGCATGATTCACCCATTTCAGTTCACTTCAGCAAAAATGAGCCTTTGAATGTTCACCGTTCACGGAGATTCCACGTATTTTACAATAAATTGGGAACCAAATATGACAAAAAAAATACAAATTATCATTATGCGACAAGCACCACTCAGTGTTTCGTCGCTGCTCCTTCAAAGTTGTAAAGGATGCTGCTGGGTATCGAACGAAAATACAAGTATAACGACTACTGTTTCCGCTCATTCCATCCTCACGAGTTGGGTGATTCAAATTGAGGAGCTCTACGTTTCTATTCGGTAGCCCAGCTAGCAGTACACCTATACCATAAAAGAGCCTCGTAAACTATAGTAAACTATCAGAGCCACTTCACAAGAATAGTGATAAAACAACTGCGTGCAAAACTGTGGTGCTCTTCGTGTCTTCCGAGCAAGCGGATTTTATTGGGTACTGCTGACAGCGCTCGGTAAGGATAAGGGCAAATTTTTCTAACTCCCTCTGCAGATGATTAATGGGATTACAGGTGATACATATGATGGAAAACTTGCACCATAATGGTTATTGATGTTGAATTTGCTAATGCGACGCTATGCAAACCTTAATGATCAAAGTTTTCTCTCAAGTCTTGCTCGAAAACTTCTTCACTAATGTTACAGTTATGATTTATACAAATAAGCACAACATAATGAAGAGGGAAGTATAGATTCGGGAAAACGGCAAAAGAAATCCAACTGTCGTGTTTAAGAACGTCGCTTGACTCGGAAATTTTTAAAGTATTCTGTACACAGTTGGTGTGTCAATTGTTCCAATACGTCATAACAAATTACATACCTTCGGGATACATAACGATCCAGCGGTAATCGAATTTGTAGAAAAAATTACGAAGATGGTTCTTGAACGACCTCAATAGAGCCGTTTTCCGCGACGCTCCACCGTTGATAAAGAAGTTCCCATGCGCCATCCACATTATTCCAAGAGGTGTGTACTTCCAAATATTATAGATGACCCACATCCACTGGAAAAAAAATTCAAGTGTATTGCACAACGTATAGTTCGCTGCTTCGAAGGAAAAATAAAACTACAATTGCTATGTTTTCTTAAGGTGATTCATCAACATTTTTCAAATGAGTAGGGCACTGCTAAATCATGAATGACAAAGTGTTATATGTTTCCATACACAGATGAGGAAGGAAGTGCTATATTTTGCTCACTTTCTTAATTCCAGATATCACATATAAGTTGGCAACTATGTAAACGATAACTGCTTCGATTGAGTTTCTTAAAAACGTCTTTATGATTCATTAAGAGAAATTATTAACGCAACTATTCCCTGTACACTGCTTATAAATATCCGTAGTAATACGAGTCGTATATGACTCATACATGACCGACAATTGTTTGATCTTCAAACTATGGATGAACCGCTCATTGTGAACTTAATTAATGGAAGTGAATACCACTTCAATATAAAGATTTTCACCAACAAAGCACGATCAAGAAATGTCAGGCTTCTATAGCGAGCCATTCGTCCTGGTTTTTTTTCGTTTTTTTTTTTCGTGGAAGCATTTAGTAGGGGCAGCGAAGCGTTTGAGCTAGCGGAATTTCGTCTAGCAGAACGCGACGACACTCTTAGATGCGTCATGGGTAATCTTGGTGGCTGCCGCGCTGCCGTTAAAAATTCTTTAAATCCGCTGGCTGAATTTGCGATTTTTAGGTACAAAATTTTAATTTAAAAGAATTATTTTCAGAAAAAAACTTCGTAAACTTTTATCAAAAAATGCCGGCAGTGTAAAGTAGCACTGTCACGAATGTTTATCGGAAAATGAAGGCAGTGTTCTACAAAGTGGTAGTGTCGTGGATGTGTCAAGCAAGAGGAAGTTACCTTATAACAGAAATCCAGGAGGATTCCTAAGCAGTTACGAAGTACGTTCAATGACAGTAGGCTAGCAATTTTCACCGAAAAAGTTTGAATTATGTAACTAGGGAGTGTGGTTCATAATAATTAACTCATCCATACAACATACAAACTAAGCCACAGAAACAGAAATGATGCACCAGGATCTAAACAGTGTCGGTTAAAAAAGATTATTGAAGAGAACAGCAACTCACATTGCCTGAAACTCTTCCTTTATTATGAAGACTTTGCATAACAATAAAATGATCAACAAGACCTAAATGATTGGCCAAAAAGAGGCATCGTTTCTCGGTATACGCAGAAAGATCGGCACCGTATTCAACAACTAGAATTGAAAGCGAAATTGGCAATATTTAGTCCAACACACGAACTCTACAATAAACCATGCAAAAATATCGACACTTACGATTGAGACCACAATAGACAGACGCTGACACCCACAGATTATTAACGAGTCTACACAAATTGTTCTCCGAATAATTGAAAACTGGCAGACTGGAATCAAACGAAATTCTTCAAAACAAAGATGACAAATGACAAAACACTAGAGTGTAGCCTACCTAAGGTATATCATTGGAAATAGTGTGAGTACGGTTGCCACACATGCGACAGGAACTATGAAGACAGTCATGATGAGAAAATAACCAGCTCCTATATAACCATAGGAATAGCGTACATAGAAAATAGCGGAGAAACTCGTGCCGGTCAAGAACCTCACCTATGAATGCGACCATTTTACGAAAATCCGTCGCATGAGAAGTATCACGTCCAACGGAAGATTGGATTTTGGCGCTGGTTTTCATATCCCCAGAACGTGGAAGAGATGTAGGAGCCTCATCAAGTAGTCCCTTACCCAACATGACAGCCAAACTTGTCTGGAAATATGATAATGAACAGAAATTAAGGCAAATAACATTCGCTCTAAATATTCGTATTAACGCGAACGCTCCTAGCAAAATCCATATTCGTGCAATTGGCTTAGCGGCAAATAAAGAATGAAACCCACCGCTATCAACTCTACACCACAGTTGTTTTAAATCAGAAACAGAAAGGACCGCTAGCGAAAGTTTACGGTGAAAACAACATACGGAAATCGATAAACTCTTTTACGTAAAAGCCTTGTCATGCATGAAAATCGTTAAGAAAAAAGCCCAATTCACCTTAACAATGATCAAATGTGACTATTTAATTACTACACACCACGATGATAAGCATTTCGCGCTTGAGGAGCAGTACGAAAAAAAAAGCGAAGAACACGAAAAGACGCCAGCACGTGGAAAATGTATGAAATCAAGAACTGCGTTTCAACCACGAAAAACGCTGTGTCGTAACGCCGATTGGAGGGCGTCCAGGAACAGCAACAGGAGATTTTCAGGAAATTCTGCAGAATTTCGTTGGCTACAAGTTTTTTAAAGCAAACCTTTATTTAACCCCACCAATGATTTCTACTATCATGTTCCATATATTTCATTGATAAGCTTATACGAAGTTGTTGTAGAGCTCTTCTGTGCATGGCGTTTTGGACTCGATTTCGCATTCTTAACAGATGATTTCGTTCGAATTGGATGACGACAACAGTTGCTTTTTTGCACTGTGTATGAGACGGTGCACTGCACGAATGAGTAGACCTCAACGAATAACTGCCCTTTTATACAGAACGATTTCTGCTCAACTGCTCATTCGATAATATCGTTTAGTAAATTTATCAGTAAACAAAGCACGATCATGCTGAGTTCGATTAAAATCGGTTTTTAAGAGTATATAACACGAGACTGCTGCGGAATAGATTATCATATGAATAGGTTGGTTCCTTCATGCCTAGTGCTTTAATCAATTTCTTTGTCCTCACTGCAATTTCTGAAAACTCACACCACAAGACAGAACTGTTATTAACAACCTACTCACGTCATTGTAACTCTCAAGAAGACAATATTGTCGAACCATCAGCAACAGTAAGGAACTTTACAACGTCGCACAAGCTTATCAAAAAAGGGCAATGAATTCCTTCTCATGACCAGGATAGAGAAAAGAGTATAACTAGTGTAATTTGTTCATCACAACTCCAAAATTGTCTAAAAAACAGAAACAACCACCTATGATTCCCAATCGAAATTTCAAAACACTTCAGCAAACTAAAGACTTCATCAAGACTATGACAACTGAATAATGTACTGCTGAATGCAGACGTCCACTGGCTGCAGCACAGGGACTGCCAGCCACGCAATCGACGACACAGCGAAGGGCGTGCTCCGTCAAGGCGCCGCACTGCCGGCCGGCACTGCCACCGGCGGGCGAGCGCGCCGCGTTCCGCAGCAGGAATCGGTCGCGATTCCGGTTCGAGCCAACCCGCCGCATACCGGAGTCCGAAGATTCGGACAGTGCATTGGTCGACCACCATATTAAGCACTCCATAGCAATTTCGTTGACGTCGAACAATATGATAATGAGTGTTATCCTTATAATGAGTCGGTTTCCACGAAATCCTATTCACGTGATACGCGTCTTAAAAATAGTGGTTTTGAATGGTGTTTGCTGTGATCTGCTATTTAGATTTATTATGATGAGAACATTACTTTTATGACCCGTGATCACGATAATCATAGACTTATTCGAGCGAAGACTAGTTAAACTTTCAGAACGTGGTTTAAGCCAGTCGGAGATCGATCCGCGAACTCGAACATCCTTTTACTTTCGGTTTAATGCCCTCTATTTTTGCTGTTTTAAGCGAGAAGATTCCATAGTGGCTCCGAGCCTATAGATTTATTCCTAGCCGAGCTTCTAGATTGAGCAGCCGAGCTCCTCAAGATGAGAGACCTCACCGAAAGATGAATACCATGCTGTACGCCGCACTCGATACTCATGAACGTTGTCGCCAAAATGCTAAAAGATAGCTGACCCACAACAAGTAGAATAAAAGCAGGAAGTATGCATTCAATGCAGTTAATTTAACAGGATTTCGTCGTCTCTATTGTACGGAACAAGCGCTTTCCGATGATTTGGCAACCAAACTTATCAAAAATAGCAAAAAAAAATGAACACAGTACGTGTTTTGTCATCCGTTATAGCAGCTGAGAATACCAACATTGCAGAATCTAGGAGATAAGAAGGCAAAGGAGAAAACGTCCGCATTTGGTCATTCCCTGAGTGATCTGCCATGCATTCGACTTCATCGAGCATCGTAGGAGTACTTAACGCACATCTGGCCTATACACTGCCTTGTGGTGACTTACCGATGTGTCAAGATAGTGCTGGTATCGTCATAGACAGGTCTGGTACCAATATTTGGATTCCGGAGATATTAAGTGCTTACTGAGGTCGGACAGTGATCGAACTAAAGAGCACGTGTGCATTGCAGAACACCTCTGGCCACTGAGCTACATGCACTGTTAAAACTTAAAGAGTATTAAGAAGTGATTCCGCATACCTTCTAAGTTATTTGTCTTAAAACTTTCGACTAAGTCGCTGTTTCCTCCTACACCATTTTAACACATGTCAATTTTCTCAACAATATGAAGAGCACACTCTGTCACAAAGAAAAATTATAACTGTCAGAGCATTTTTCAAAAAACCGCTACGCGAGCACCAACACGAAGGAGTTTCATACATGTGGCATTCACATCTTACAACGGATGTGTGTTTTTATCATTGAATTGTTATCAGCTCATATGTGTATACCTCACATGGCATAGCAAATTATTCTACAGGGTCGTTCGGAAATAAATCCGTAATCCGTAATCTGTAATCCTATTTGCCCCGCATTATTTTTAGAAACAGTTCTCTTTTTCGGGCACTGCACTATTGTTTATGCTACTTTCTTCCTTCAGCTTTATGCACCTCTTCTTCTCAAACATGACTGAATTGTAATATAAGTTGTGTCCTTAGAAAATTTGAGAGTTGGAATTTTAGATGTCAGGCCATTAATCTCGACAAATTTGGTTTTACGAATTCAAACTCGAACTTACGCAACGCAGAGGTGTTGAAAGCCCTACTATGTAGGGCCAAGAAAGAGTTAACGAACGTGCACTGTAATATTACTTCTGAAATTTTCTTCGCAGCGATTTCGACGAGCAACGTGCGAGCTTCTGCTTTTGAAGACAATAAATTGAAGGGCTTGGTGGAAGAACAAAAAAAGAAACAACTGTTACACAACCTACACGAACTTAATGTACGCATCTTCTTCACTCTTTTGGACATCAAAAATGGTGCAAAAATCGAAGAGGCACGGTAAATGAATCCCGCATGAATTGAATGGTCCCCTGTCGCGATAACGCTCGTTAAACGATGAACGAGCTGGGCTACGAAACTCCGCCTCATCCACAGTGCTTGTTAGACGCTTCGCCTACCGACAAGTATTTCCTCAGGCATTTGAATCAAGCGGAAGCGCAACTAGCTTCATCAACTTCATAATTTTTGGGATTCCATAGTTTTATGCAAGTAGAATAAATAATTTCGTTTCTCATTAATTACAAGGTGTAAATTATAGTGATTGATTTCGGTTAATAAAATTTATCCTAAGTTGAGATATGCCATTTCGAAGACGCAGTTTGAAATTCGACATAAAATTTCGCCTGGTTGTCTCAGATTGTCTTGTAAATCTCAAGATCACTATTTTGGATATAATCCTGCCAACTGAAATACAAGCGTTGATGTCGAGTAGTGGAGCAAGGACTCTCTATAAACGAAAATGCTACGGGATTAGACTGTACGGATGTTGACTACATGGGCTTCCTTCCAAATATTTCTAGAACACTAGAACTAGAAGTAAATTTTCTTTGGCATCGGTGTAAGCTCCAACTTTGCCGTCTGTTATTTACACAGCAACCGATGGAGAAAGACAGCACTTTTTATTGCACTTCTATTTGTTCTTTGTCAGGTGATTGAGCAGCTCCACTACACAGTATGAGGTCTTTATAACAATAAAAAAAAAGAAACACGTGAGTGGAAAGGAACAAGAGAAAGAGAATGACACCAGTTTGAACTTGTTCTATATATAAAACCTTTCAATATTGTATATAAGGTATATATAAAGTGAATAAACTTATTTATAATAAACCTTAAATCCCGTCTTAAGCATCGCACGGGAAACCTTTCATGATTGCCATCAACATTCAAGAATAAAGTTTCCGAAATGAAACTATCTCTTCACTGACTACATGGATAGGGTAAATAGCAGTAAAATTTTTACAAAAATTCAAAAAAAAGTATAAATGATTAACATGTTGGAAAATGGCAAATAATGGCCATGTTAACCACCTGGTGTCAATCGAAATTAGGCTCTGTTTTAGTTAACCCAGCCATCGACTTCTTCGCTTTAATATTGAAAATCCGCTGAGTGGTTGATAAACACTATGAAATACAAGACATTTCTCAGGCAACGGAAAACACTGTGAATGACATAACATTTCTCAGCCAATGCTTCGTAATATCAAAGAGTGCACCCAAAAAACGTCTTTTAAGACTTTCGCAGGTAGCCACCATAGAAAGAGATTCTCCACCGTACATCTAGGTGTTTTCGAATATTCCTTGTATTGCTTTATTAGGACTTCCGATGGAAACCTCGGAGTCCTTGCTTGGGAGACTCTGTTCGCAAATAAACTTCTACTGCATTTTGCAAATTCCCACTCAATACTGAGAGATAATGCCCTCGTCTAACCAAAGTGCATCAACGAGCAACTGAGAAGACAGAAGCACAGAAGCACAGAATGCAGAGAAAATGAAAAATATCGGCACACATAGTTTAAAATATAAACAAACTAAGCAGTCTTCTTTAAACCCTTTCAGATTTTTTACCACGGATCTCCCTCATATGAGGGAACTTGAGTGGTTAGTCGCGATGCTACTTGGCGTGTCCTCAGATGGCAGATAGAGGATTAAT